CCTCTCTCTCTCTCTCTCTCTCTCTCTCTCTCTCTCTCTCCCATAGAGTTTATATCAAGAAATATATTGCACATTTTAATCCATGGGAGGTTTTCTTTGAGAACGGTTATGTCAACATTCTAAAGCATCGAGTATTTTGCTTTGAGAAGTCTCTCTCATCTCCCTCGCCATCTCACTGTGTAATTTCCGATTCTGATTTCTTTGACAATGCAGGTTAGATATCAAATGGCACAGGCCCAAAATGGTAATGTTGTATGTTTCGTTGGGCTACTACCCAACTAGCGGGGAACCTAATGTGCAAAAGGTGCATGTCCACCGAAGCCTGCAAATCGAGGGCAAAACAGCCATAGTTGTCAACCATCGTTACTTGACACAATTTAGGCGAGACCCACTCTTACCCTCCAAGGTTAAAAATGAGTCAGATACCGACCGCTCAACCACTCTCCCCCTCAATGAAACATCTATTCTCCTAGTGACTGCCAAGAACTTCTCTGAGGTGCCCTTGCAGGTAATATCCATCACCATCGAAAGGGATGGTTTGGACGACAATTCTTGTGTTTTGAGAGAAGCTACTCCAAAATCTGCCCCCAAATATGAGATGACGCTTTTAGTGCCTGATGGAGACTATAAACAAGTTTTCTCTCTGTCGCCTCTCTCTACCTCCCAAGAACTCGAGGTAGGAACAGCATGTGTGAGATGGAAGAGAGATGTTGGGGATTCTGACATAGTTACCACGAGGCATCGACTGCCTGATGTTAAAGTGGAGAAACCACAGATCATTGTGACCTTAGAATACCCTCCACATGTTGTACTCGGTGTTCCTTTCTCTTTCTGTGTGAGGATAGAAAATCAAACTCAGCTTCTTCAAGAGATCAGGTATTCTTTGGTGGATTCTCAGAGCTTTTTGCTAAGCGGGTCTCACTGTGACACTGTGTTTGTGTTGCCCCATTCGAGTCAAGTGCTCAGTTTCATGGCAGTGGCTTTGGTGTCTGGAATGCAACAGTTGCCTCAGGTTAGTGCGAGTGCAATTAGGTATTCGGCTGGGTTGCAACCAGCTAGTTCAGGTTCAATGGTCTTTGTTTTCCCTTCGCAGCAGAGCTTGAAGTTGGAAGGGGCTTCTTGTGTTGAGGAGGGGGGTGGAATTGCACCAGAACCCATCTCTGCTCAGTGATGCTCTTTAATTCTCTCTCCTTCTCTCTCTCTCT